CATTAGCATCCACTCTAATACTTTGACCTTCTGAAAATGACTGTCGTTATTACTAGTGCTGCATATTGATACTCTGCTTGGCACAGCACGACATTCAAGATAGATGGTCTGTGCCAGAGCAACTGAAAACAGGGATTTGGCCAAAAGTTCTCTCGTTTAATCATCCTTATTTTCTTCCTTTTCCCTTTATCAATTGGCTAAAAATGTTAGCATTTAATCACATACAAGCGTGTTCCCTTTCCAGCCACAGATAATAATAGCCCAATCCACTGGAGTTTTTCCATGACTTTGAGAAATGGATTGGATCCAAAATGGAATGGTTTGGCAAGCAGTGGAAGACCTTGCAGAAAACAGGGATACTGGCGAAGGGTTGAAACAGCAATCCCTATAGCAACTGAAAATGGCATGGCCAACTTTTCATATTTTTCATATCTAATGATATTTCACAAAAAGAGAACTTTTTTCAATTACGGTTCAGTAGTATCATGTAGTTAAGAGAACCACTGCAGCAAAGCAGAAACAGAAATGTTAATAGTTTATGTTTGTATTACAGTAGTACTCAGATCTTAACTGAGATCAGATGTATGTACCACATGCAGTAAGAGAAAACATGCAGCATTGACATTGCTCTGCAATCTTCTGTGCCTGCACTGCCCCTTACTTTCTCCACCTTTCCTTTGTATTCCTGGACCATTCATGAACTTGAAAATTATACAGAAAAGGCTCCACAGTGACCTAAGTGTGATAACCAGCTGTTCCAGCTGAATGTGTTAAATGCAGTGAGTCAGCCTAAGTAACTTCTGTGGTTCATAGGTTCTATGTAAGGATTTCTAGAATGTCTATCCTAAGTAGGAACTAATCCAAAAATACATAAAATAAACACTTACAAATTGCCAATCACTATGGCTACAATTATCAGCCTTAGCTCCCTACACTTCCATTGCTCGTTAATAAGGAACCCTCTGTTGGTGGGATTGGCTGATGAACAGCTGTGTTGCTCAACAGCTCCTGAAAGCCACCAGATCGTTTGCATGCCAACACCCATGGGATGTTCAAACGAGGTACCTGCCCCTGGCTTGTGTTAGGGAGGATGTAGGGTAAAGCGGCCTGAAAAAATCGCTCAGTGGGCAGTTCGGGTGTGTGGCTGTCAGGCGGTGACTGTTCTGGCCCTGGTTGACCACAAAACTTGGGTTTTCATTGACATTTGAGAGCTATCCCACACAGGCTTAAAACTTTTTTTTTTGTACAGCAATTAATGTAGTACGTTAACAGCCGAAATATGGCAGAGGGCCAAAACCCTAATGCATGCCACACGTTTGATTGTTTTTGCCAAACATTTCCAACCTCTCAAAACCACAATTACAATAAAAAACAAGGCAATTCCCTGCCTGACCAGCCCCCCACCTTGAGCTCATATTTAACACTTCCTGTGTTTTAACCACTCGGAATATCTTCATCAGCTCTGGAATTTGTTTTGGCTTGTTCTCTAGCACAATCAAAACCTGATGGCTGTGTTCAGCACATAGAGACCAACTTAGGCAACTGAATTTTGTCCTTCGGCAGCTGTTTGGTATTGCTTTTTGGTCAAGAACTCTCCATTAAAACACTAACACAAGAAAAGAGAGGCAGAGACACCAGATAAACAGCAATGATGTATCACAGACCATTCTGGAAGGAGGATGTTTTAAATGCCACCTTCTTTTCAGCTCATCACTGAATTTTCAAGTCAGCATTAGCTTTGCATGATAAGTGACTTTTGTACCAGTTACTATGTTTATCACTTGGAAGAAGCATCCCACCTCCTACATTTGAAAAAATAAATGCTTTTCCAGTGGCAGAAAAATATCAAAGTACAAAACAGTGACAAAAGCTCAAACAACATTTGATATATTCTAACTCTACCAACACACAAATATTCTCAGGTGGTAAACAGTGCCAGCAGCACATTGACATCAGCACCTCCCATTTCTAATTATACACAACTGGATGCATTTTGGAGCTGCCCCAGAACTTAATTTTCAACTAGTAGAATTAGTGTAAAATTAATTTAGGACTAATTACAATATGGCTGCATTATAGTGGTGCTATAATGTAAAGAAATCATTTAACAGGCATCTATATAATATAATCATATAAATATTTACCAGTCTGTAAATACACCTTAGAAACCATCAGCATGCAGAAGGTGAAGAATAAGCTTTTCCTCAAGAGATACTCTTCTTCAGTTTCTTTTGAGGACACATTTTAGAAATGTAAATTATCTATCCTGAACTAATTACTAAGCTTTGGAAGAATACTAATTATTCTCTAATTAAAGTGACTTTAAATCTAGCATGTAGTATCATATTCTGAAAACGTCTTTGCAGGATTGCTTTATTTCCTCACACAGAAAACATCTTAGTATAAATGAAAATCAAGTCATTAATATTTTATACAGTCATTCTGTTATTGTCTCTTCAATCAAGCTTGTCAAAATAAGTAATGCTGCAGTTACAAGCACAGATTCTAAGATCCAGAGCCAGCCACACATGGCCTTTACGTGACGTTCCTCATGTTTCATCAGTCACCCAATTAGCAGAATAATCATACAATCTATAGGAAGATTTCAGTACATTTGGTAGACGGAGATCTCAATCATATGTTTTACAAGGCTCAGATTCTGCATGAAGTCTTTGCAGTACAGAGCCAAGGGGAAAGAAGAACAAGGAAAAGAGACAGAGGAGCCCAGTTCTTGAAGTCTGGTCATCTTTCTGTAGGACACCTCCTGCCAAATTGAGGGCAGAAGAGAGACACAAGTACCAATATGGGTTCAAGCTCTAAATAAACAGATGCTTTCTCAAAGCCGGTTCCCTTAAAGCAGCACAAAAATGACACTGTACTTTTCATCCAGTTCTTGATTGTCAAGGTACTGGACTTCATCAGGTATACAGATCTCAGATTAATTCAGTTATTTGTAACATTAACAAAGAAAAAAAGGATGTTTTCATGGTATTTGGCCTTTGACATCAAGGAAAATTTAGCAGAATTCTTTGTGTTTAAATTATGATTGTAAAATGACTGCAGAAATCACAGAACCTGCAGTTGTTTTCATTTGACTTAATCTGCTAAAACCGATACTGAAGAGTTTGTCGGGAACTGGTGTTGTACAAGGAACAGGAGGAATTAAGGGAATAATTCCCTTAGTCTAAAATGCTTTCATAACCTTGAAATTGTGATAATTCTTAAAATTGTAATTTTGAAGTAAATGATCACAGCGAATCAAAAAACAAGGTAAGAATAGTTTTAAATGCTAGCATGGCTGAATTCACTCTGCGCCGAGGGAAAAGTGATGTGTGTGGTTATCTGTGTTTGTAAAGCAGTGGTGTTTCCACACCAGAGACACCAGGAATTAACAAGCAGCGCTAATGAGCACTTTAAGGGCATTTGGAATCAAACATAGGAATAATATTGCTTTAGCCTCATCAAAAGAAAACTGAAATAGAATAAACAAGCCAGTGCGTACGATAACACTGTCAGGGACAATAGAGGGATTAGTTTTGCACGGATCAAGCACCAGTCCTATGGGTATATGCAATTCCAGACACTGCTGGTTTTTTGTGTGCTTATGTTTCAGGCACGTTTGGACATCTCGGGCATGACTATAGTGCAAAATACAAAGTCTTAGCCCTAAGTCAGTAAATATCAGTAAGGTGAGACCTGACTGAAGGCATTAGTATAAATACATAGAGACCTGCAAGCAGTAACTTGTACTGCTAACACAGCAGTGTGTAGGAGACTGGAAAAGCGAAACAATTGATAATAAATCCATAATACAAGAAACTGTCGTCTTTTCTGTACAGTTTGTGCTTGATCACTCCTGCTACCGGCAGGATCACTGCAGTGTCACTGCATTTCAGTGGGCTCAGCACCAACTCTGTGAATAGCAGTAAGTGTGAGTTATGGCGGAGAAAAAAGGCTAAAGAATATGCTGCATGATAAAATAACACATCAATCAGATCAAGCTGAAAACAGCCTCCCATGTCTAAACCCGTTGTTTCAAAGAATGAGAACACAATGCAAAGACAGAAAGAACTCTTGGCCTGCAAATAACGTTTTATATCTTTGATAATGATACATAAAGTAAAAAACATTGTATTTGACTTTCTTGAAATACCTGCTTTCCCTTAAGCTGGTCCCATTGAAATAATGGCAAATTCATCAGATGGTCAAAAATGGATGCAGACATAACAACTTCCTTCTTGAATGAAGGGGTGGCCTGAGGCAGGCATTTTTATTCACTGTATATAAATGAGGAAAAGGAGGTAATGGTGCTACAGGAACATTGCTTAAAAATATGACTGCTCCTGCCCTAAGGTTATCCTACCTATGTTTGAATGATTAGAATTAGGTTTTCCTGTTTTTCCCTTTTTTTCCTGCTGTAGGACAAAAGGAAGCAGAGAAACTGCCTGCATGAATAGCATTGCCAGATGTGCTAGTAAACAAGTGGAAAAATACTTATTTTTTGTAAGTGTATTCCCTAAGCTATTACTTACAGCAATTGTAAGCAATACTTACTTAGAAAGGCATTTATACATTTCCTCCTAAACACCTCCCCCACTACAGTACCCTTGCATGGGCCCAATGCTTAATGTGGGAACAGTCCCAGTGAGGTTAGCGAGGCCACCTCTGTCCATCCTTGACTGCAAGCAGAGGCGTTTGCTGATGCGGGAGCTGCTGATTGAGCCCTTTTCTGCACTGGCGTTTGTGTGTTCCCATACCCACCTGCCTGATGGAACCTGCTGTCATCACTCCAGAGCAGCAAGGCAGACCGCTACGCAGCAGATAAAACCACCGCTTCATCTCCAGCTATGAGAGCTCTAGATCTGACTCCTGAGCTTCACCCTGCACAGTAACAGCCTCCGCCTCTTTCATCCCAGTGTATCCCACAAAAAGGCCAGGCGGCGGTGGATGCCTGTGCCCAGGCAGTCCGTTACTCAACGCAATACAAAGACGGACGGTACCTTTTTTTTCCCCTGTGAACGGTACAAAGTCTTCTCTGTCTTTGTGCTCGAGCGCTTGCTTCTCCAAGTAGGAGAGCAGGCGTTCTCTGTCAAAAGGGCCTGTGGCAGCTTTAGTGGTCTGGTCCTTTTGCCGAAATCCCGCTGGAAGCAAGGCGTTCTGTGAAAGGGAGGGAGGCATGTAAAGGAGATGAGACAATTTCATACAGCGTTCCAAATTTCATTTCAATGCTTTTTTAAGTGAAACCATTCTTTTCATGTCACTTCACATAATGCTCTTTGTTGACAGCAATAACGCACGTTATGTAAATGTAACCATTAAAACCAGTGTATCTTCCAGCCGTCTTATCTGTACCACCTTTTAATATTTTTATTAACCACCTTTACAATCACAGCACCAAAAAACTGAGCAAGGTCAGAGCCCTTTGTTTTACACGTTATAACCACAGAGTCTGCAATCCAGATAAACCAGGATAAGGTTTCTCTACGTTTTCTTCTCTTCATTTAATCTTTTTTCCCCTCATTTTTCTCTCTTCATTTTTTCAGAAGTTCTTTTCATTCTAATGCAGATGTCTCTTGGACTTCAGAAATGAATGGCACACTCGGAAAGTAACTGGTGAGTTAGGTGGACTTCAGCTATTTAGAGTATGCAGGAAGCAAGCAGATGAAGCCCCACTTTAAACATGTAGCTGTGTGACCACGTGATTGCATCTGCATCCCATAATATAGGAAGATGCATGAGGCTCCCACATCTCTGCCCAGGAAATCCCAGAAAAGAATACAGTACATGGACTTTGCAGTGCATGTGCAGTAAAGCCAACATGTTGAAGATGCGCCAGAGCACTGCAGAAACACTCCATCGTTGGCCAGAACATGCACAGTAAGTCTGATCCATGACAAATATCCAGTGAATCCTGGGCACATCCAATGAACTCAAGTCACTGGATATTTTATCTGTGCACGCATAAACGTGCCCTGAGTGCTACAAATTTACTGCACATATGTAGCCTGACTACAAATGGTATTTTTTTTCTTTTTTTAAAATGTTTTCTGTGTCTCCATTGAGATGTCAAGTACCTGAAAATACCAGAAAATGCACTGTAGAAGTGGTAGTAGTGAGGGAAGTGGCAGCCTGGAGGGAGAGAACAGTAAAGCCCACTCTGAATTTCTAGATAAATTTGTGCTATAAAACTATAAGTTTTAGTTTATTGTGTTTTTTCAAATTTATTTTGTCTCCAGAGTGAACAGATTTTATCTGCCAGTTTACTTGCTGGTTTTCAAACTCCTACATCAGTTTGGAAGCTTTTGGGTAGGTACAGTCAGAATTCCCAACCAGCACGCTGTGACTGTAACCTCGTCATTGTAGGACCAAGTGGTTCCCAGGCCAGAGATCTTTAATTTCTTTGTGAGAATGTCTTCAAATATCCAAATTATCCTTGATCTCTAGAAAATGACAGTTATGTAGCTGAATCTTAGTTTTCTTCATCATGCCTAAATATAGTCTCTTCAGCTAAAAATATCTGTGCTGAATAACACAGTCAAGAGATTTCAGAAGTTCAAAAGATCTGATCTTCACAAATACACGTTATGTTTGTTTATTGCTGTGCTCAGAAATAGCAGCCATAAAAAGCTTCTCATCGTGCTGCAGTGTACAAACATGATCGAAGATTTAGATTGCAGACAAGCTCATGTCTAAATAGACAAGGCACAGAGAAAGGGCACACTTGTACAAAAGCAAGTACATCACAGCAAAATGTCCCTAGCTGAGCTGCTTATCCTTTAGGGCACACTGCCTCTACTGTAGCAGAATGCAAATAAAATGCTACAGTATGTGGCATTTATAATAGGCAGCTTTTGAACTATGATCCCCCTGGTCCCCGTTACTAACCTCAGGATCAAGGTCATCGAGAACATGCTCTAGCTGTTTCAGTTCATCCTCTGAGAGTTTGCTGAGTATTTCGTCTTCATTGATATTCTTATATTTCTCCAACTCTTTTCGGAAGGGCAGAGACATGGCTCCTGCTGCACTGCTCGACTGATGCTGCTCTTCAAGATCTCAACCATCCAGGAGTACTGAGCTTCCTGCAGCTCACTCACTGTTAACAATAAAGCATTATGAGCATCTCCATTTAGCTGATATAGTCCTAAAGAGCCCGTATGCTGAGAGTCATATCTACACTTTATTGACGAAAACAAAGCAGCGAGGTGTCCTGGCTCAGCAGAGGGGCTGTGGGAAGCGCTGGGGCTGCCTGGGCAGCAGTAGACAAGGAAGAGCAAGGAGGAGTATGGTACGCTTGGGAACCTCATGGTGCAGCAGCAAAGAGAAGCTTTGAGATATAGGTAAGAAAAAACCTTGGGAACCTATCCTTTTCCATAGATATAAATCTGGTATATTTAATTTGCTTAGAAACAGGAGTATCAGCTTGTTCTTTTGGCTAATGGCAGGGGAAGGTGCTAGAGTCACAGAAAACAGTTCAACACTGACAAACAAGAAACAAAATGTTATGCTTTGAGGTTTTCTATCTTATTCCAGCTTTACTGATGGCTGAAAGCTTACCCACATCATCTTGGCTGGCTTTTTGGTACCTTCTGGTTACCTAAGCAGCTTCAAAGTATGTTGGTTGGTAGTCTTATTTCAAAACGTTTGGCTACGAATGATAGCACTTGGCATCAAAACAATCCTTGCCGTGGGCATATGCTACTTATAGCTCAAAAGATCATCTGTAAATTAGTCTACTGCACGGGGTACCTGCAGGCGTTCAAAACATGGTTATGAAAAAATAAGCACTTAGTATTTCACAAACTCTCTAAGTTCTAAAACTTGAACGTGGTTCCTTGTTAGATGATCCCAAATGATCAGTAACAAAAGTGTCATTTGTATGGCTACAATAGTCATTGTCATATAATTTGTCATATGACAAAAGACCCTCTGTCTTTACTTGCTCTTTTTATCCTGTCCAGAACCAATTCTAGAGCCAGAATCTGCCTGTAAATGGATGGAGCAAAAAAGAATTAATGCATAATCAGAAACAGCATTAGCTGAGGACTTTAATTTTGCTACAGGTCTGCCTGCTTTCCCGTGCCAGCACCAGAGCTCTCTGAATTACACAGCTAGCTGTGCGGTTTTACAGCTGAGTTTTTGCATTGACAAATTTCAAAGTTATGGCAGATACGGAAAACAGCCAACTGGCACTTACATCTGGCTTATCTATCAACCAGAACTCTGACTTCCTTTGGCCAGGTCCTTAGTTGTCATAAACCAACAAAATCCATGTGGCTTCTGTTGTTCTTCATATGAGCTGGAAGCTCGGTCTTTATTTTTCTTTTATTCAAAATCCAAATGAAAATGTTGCGTTTACTTAAGAGTTTCACTATTAAAATACTAAATACTAAAACATATCTCATTTTTCTATTTATCAAAAAGACTAGAAAGCCGCAACCTATAGAAAGAGAAGAGAATAATGAGTGGAATTATGAGTTTGAAAAATCTAGAATTCTATGAATACTACAAGGCATGATAAGCCTTGACTTGAAACACTTAAACATCCTATTCCAATCAAAAGCATTATTTCCCCTACACAGTCTCATTTTCTTCTTTGTTACTGCTCTATTTATTATCCCTGTTTTCATATCATGACATCTCTGTCAAGCCATTCCAAATGTCAGGGTAGAATTCAATTGCTCTTTAAATTGCAGGTTTCTTTTAGGAATTTAGTCAGCATCTGATGTTTCATAAACTTACAGCAGCTTTGAAAAAATCTTATATTATCAAAATTCCATCATATGTGATGAGTACAAGAGATAATTTGGCAAAAAAAAAGGTCCAAAAGAGTTAATGTTTTTGTGTACTTGGTGCTTAAAGAGAACACTTCTTCTAGATTAATTGATACAATTTGTTACCAAAACTACTTGTTAAATAATGAAAACGTTTTATTTAAAAGTGGTAAGTATATTTGTTTAAACTGTAAAAACAAATTCAGCTGCAGAACATTTCCGTACTAAGGCATCAGGTGCCTTCTCTAAGTTTCTTTGGATAAACTCATTAAACACGTAACATTTCAGCTAGCAGTCATTAACTGAGCTGAAAAATTTCTTTCAGGGGATTAGAGCTTTTTAAAACTCTATTTAACAGTTTAAATGGTTATTTTATTAGAGTTTAATCGCATCCCTGGAAAAGACAGAAATGTAATCCCAAGGTTTGGTTAATTAAATATGCTTGGAAAAGTAACTAGTAAGAGTACATAAGAGTGTCCCTGGCTGAGGTTCAGCACTTCTGTTGTGCAGGATGCCTGGTACCAGTACCTCTCCCTTGGCTGTGTGGCGTTGCACCGTTCCCATCAGCGAACACAGCCAAGAATTGTTTTACAGACAGCAGCAAGTATGTAATGGCTTTTGTGAAAAAGTTCCCAAAGTTGAATCCAGGTGCTAACGGGTAATTACTGCAGGGTATGATTTGTGAGTACCAGATGTTTTTTATTTCTTTGTGAATTACTTAAGTGTTTAGCCACAAAGGGAAGACATGCTGGGACCCGCTTTTCAACACATGACAGTTTTCAATATTGTAACTGTTTCCTTTAAATTATGAGGAAGATAAGATATTTGATCATGTGCAGCAAGGATAACCACAGAGAAATATAAACAACCAGATACTAAAGGTCTACCAGTCTAACTTCTCTCACGGCATGAAGCACTGCACTGGTAGCCCTTGTTAGATTAGTGGTGCACGGAAGAGCTTGAAATCATGCTTTACTTGCACACATACATTTTCAACAGAAATTCCCTTGATATTTTCCCTTTCACAACTGAATCCTACTCTTCTGTGACTGTACAAAAGCAAAAGACATTGCTTAGGGAATTTCTTTGTCCACAATCCCTGTAAGTAGTAAAGCTTTTCTGGAGCTTGCACCCTGCCTCACAGGGCAGTAAAAGCTCCGCTGAAATGCCTATCGCCCATCTCCCGCCTTTATGCTCTCTGTTGACCTTTCACCACAACCACGTTATCGGAAACCAAGGGAATGAGATAAATCTAACAATTCAGCATCATTCAGTCTGGGAAGGAAATGCTGAAGTCTTGTGTTACATACTCTGCTGTCTAATGTGATGATTACGATCTCCACCTTCCTAATTGGATTTCATACCGTTAATTTTGTGTATGTAAACAGCACCATATGCTGTCTGTGCTGCTTCTTACTGTGGTTGGGCTTTTCTGAGTGTGCACATGCTGTTTACTTTTTACACACTATATCCACTAGATTTCCTTTGTTATGATTACTGTATGAAACACCCGTACTCCAAATTTAATCTATTAAAAAAGCAATCACAGCTAACCAACAGCTCCTAGCTACCGTTACTGTGAGCATACAAAAGCAAATCAGGTGTCACAGAGCAGACAGGAGATGTTCAATCTAATTTCAGAGGCGATACGCGGTTGAATGTCACACTGCATTAGGGACACTGAGGGAAGAAGAAGAACAAGGGACCATGGGTAAGACTATGGAGTTTCCCTTCAAACTTACTGAGAAGAGTGAACAAGGAGAGTAAGGAACCGAGGAGCACAAATCCCATTTGTTTTTTCCATTTAGTTTCAATATGGAGCATCGCAGTTTACCACAGGTTCAAACGCCCATTGTTAAACAGCAAAGCATGTGGTTAGATCCCCAACAGGCAAAATCTACGCTGATTCAGGACAGTGCAGAACTACAAAAAGTAGCAATTCCGCTAACCATGTGCTACTTTCAAATCTTTGTGGAGCACAGATGTTTCACAGTGAGGTTCAAAGACTCCATTGCTATATTTTTATCTTTGATTACATCTAAAGAAAGAAATACATATTTCTGTTTCATTTGAGGCAGCTTTTTCACCCATGCCTGTCAACATCAGGATTCAAAACACGTTTTCAAAGACAAAAAGGGCGTCATTAGTCAGCCTGCATAAAATCACTATTGCTCTATGTAGTCAACACCTGTTGTGCTCTAACTCCTCTATACTTTGCTGTGTTCCGTAAGTACTTTTTGGTTATAATCCTTATACACTACTGAAAGGATTTTCTAGAGTAGCTAGGCAGTAGCTTCTGCTGATACCGTAATACTGTCATAATTTTATATTACTGATACAGATATTTCTTTCTGAGATGATGGAATCAGTCCTCTGCTGAATTAATGTCAGATGTCAGAGAGATCTTACTTGCACTGGTTTGGATCCCTTGAGAAGTGTTGGAACAACCTGAACTGTAGGACCTTCTATGGACCAGCAGCTACAAAGGCATATCAGGTCACTTATGCTGCCTAAAACACAGGCTATACACCTAGAAAAACATAATGTCTCTGAGGTCCTGTAGAGATGAGAATACTGTGATACAGATGATTTGAATTTCTAGCTTTTGATAGCGTGTACAAGCTAAGAATGAAGTTGCATGGCAATGTGCATTTATGTGTACAAAGAGAGGTGCTGAATGGGAAATAATCCAATAGAGCTCTTTGCATTTTTATAGAAAAAAAAGATCTTTTTTATAATCAGATTTTAGGAATTGTTCTCACTTTTCCAAATCATGGCAACTAACGTTTAGAAAGGAAATAATGATTCACGATCTATTTTCAACTATCTCCATATCCACAGTGTTTTGTGGATATTTGTGTTTTGAAAAATAGTTGTGAAACCGATCTGTAAATGTGGAAAAAAATCTTCCCTTTCTTTAAACAGTCTGAAGTAGTTAAACATGAATAAGAAACAGGTAGAATAAATCCCAAGTTAAATTGATACTGGACTAAATAAATAGGATTGAGGCCATTATGATTAAGAGCAGTGTTTGTGCAACACAAGCAGATGCTCAGTAGAAGGAGGGTGATTGTCCCACAGGGTCCAGGTGACAGAGTGCTCCCAACAATATACTCAATCCAATGCCAGACACAGGACCTCTCTGAGGTCCAGGAACTGTGATGATAAATAAGGCTGAGTTGTTGAAAGCTTGAACTTATAAAAAAAAAAAAAAAAAAGATAAATATGCCATTATTTGACATACAAATACGGTTCCTTTTTTATTTTTGTACGTCAAGAGCAAGACTGATACGTACTTTCTAACCATGAACATATGAGAG